TGTGTGTGTGTGTGTGTGTGTGTGTGTGTGTGTGTGTGTGTGTGTGATACACATGCTAACAGCCTGTTTATGGAATCCAGAATACAACCTTTGGAAGTCAGTTCTCTCCTTCTGCCATTTGGGTTCCATGGATTGGACCCAGGTTGTCAGGCCTGGCAGCAAGCACCCTTACCCCTTAGCTATCCCACTGGCCCCATAGACTCTTGAATTATTTATTATGTATACAGTGTTCTGTCTGTATGTCTGCAGGCCAGAAGAGGGACCAATTCTCATTACAGATAGTTGCGAATCAACATATGGTTGCTGGGAATTGAACTCAGGACCTTTGGAAGAGCAGTCAGTGCTTTTAACCTCTGAGCTATCTCTCTAGCCCAGACTCTTTTCTTAAGAACACTACTATATTAGTTATCTGTGGTGACAAAATACTTGCAAGAGCAACTTGAGGGAAGATGGGTTTATTTTGGTCCATAGGTTGAAGGGACAGTTGTTCACCAATGGAAAGGCATGACAACAAGTGAATGATCACATTGCATCTACAGTCAGTAAGCCGAGAGTGATGCATGCTGGTTCTTTACTATCTCCTTTTTGTTCCATCTGAAATTGAAGCATATACTAATTGGAGTGATACAGAGAAGATGAGCACGGCCCCTATGCAAGGATGACACACAAATTCATGATGTAGTCCATTTTTTTTAAAGGGTGATCACTACCCTCGAATTTCTCACCAGCGGTGAGGGTTGTGTAGGTTATCTGGATTTGGCCATCTTGCTTCTTGGGGGAACAACCCAAGTTGGGAAACAGCAACGTGCTGAGTGTGAAGTTTAGGAAAGAGGATAGAGCCTTGATGACATCTTTGGTTGTTGTAATTATAATTGCTGGATTGTTTGTTTTTGAGCCAGGCTCTTACTTTGTAGCTCTGGCTGGCCTGAACTTTCTATGTAGACCAGGTCAGCCTTGAACTCACTGAGATCCACTTGCCTCAGACTCCCAAATGCTGGGATTAATGATATGCCCCACAGTGCCCAACTTGGTGACAGTTTTGGAACAACACATTACCTACTCTGAAGGCTCTTGTCTTAGGGATTCTTGTCACCAGAAAAACAGCATCTCTACTTCCTATGTCAGTCATTTCTGCTTGTCCTGCGTGCCTCACAGACACTAGTTACGATATAACTAGTTCAATTAGTACAATCAGTATGCTATCACATCATTAGTACTTGGTGACTGTTCACTTGTGCCAGACATTGTTGAGTTTGTTTGTGCATTATCTAATTCAGTCCTCACTACAGCCTATAAAATAAGTGCTTTTTCTTTTATCATTTCTGTTTTACACACAATGAAATTACAGCCCAATGGAGTTAATCTGTCGAAGGATTCACAATGGGAAGTCACTGAGTAACATCTGACTTTCCAGACACTTAACTTTGTTTTTTTTTGTTATTAATTATTGTTATTGTTGTTATTAATTCTTACAATCCAACAAATGCTTTGTTATCTTTGTTGAGGAACTTGCAGTTTAAAGAGGTTAAGTTTTGTCCTGCAGTTGGTCAATGGAGGGCACACACTGAGGCCTTTCTGGTTGCAGGCCTGTGGGTCTATGCTCTTCTCAGACTGATGCACCTACTTGCTCTCAGCCCTTACTTTAGCTCTTCCTTCCCCACCCCCTCCCTGGGCTGTTCCTCTCCCCAGGCTTTGTTCTCTTCTCAGTGACCACTGATACTCATCTGTACTCACAAGGTACATAACTACCACTTTATCACCTAGAAATAGGAATTGTGCTGGTTAGTTCTATGTCAACTTGACACAAGCTAGAGTCATCAGAGAGGAGGGAGCCTCAACTGAGAAAATGCTTCTGTAAGATTGAGCTGTACCCAAGCCTATAGGGCATTTTCTTAATTAGTGATTGACAGGGAGAGGGACCAGTCCACTGAGGGTGGGGCTACCCCTGGGCTTGTGGTCCTGAGTTCTATAAGAAAGCAGACTGAGCAAATCATGAGGAACAAGCCAGTGAGCAGCACCCCTCCATGGCCTCTGCATCTGCTCCTGCCTCCAGGTTCCTGCCCTGTTTTGAGTTCCTGTCCTTACTTCCTTCAATGATGAGCAGTGGTGTGGAAGTGTAAGCCAAATAAACCCTTTCCTCCCTAAAGTAACCTCAATAGTAACTCTAACTAGGCCAGGTATCCTGCCTTGGCTCCTGCCTTTTGGCAATCCTAAACCACTGATGAAAAGATGCAGATCTGAGCCCTGTGTTAGCCACTAAACAGGGAAATTCAAACAGCTCATTTCCAGTTTGTTTCAGTGTACTTTGCCAGACACTGACGGGAATGCTTCCCTGCATAGAACTCATGGGCTCATCCAGCTCAAACACTGCTCCTGTGAATAAATCAGATGGGGAGGGGGGTGAATAAGGAGGGACACCTGTACATATTAAAGCCAAGGCAGAACGGAATACTGACAACATTTTTGTTAGATTTTTAAATTTTGTTTTCTGTGTTTGAGTGTTTTGCCTGCATGTATGTCTGGGCATAACACGAGTACCTGATGCCTACAGAGTTCGGAAGAGGTAGTTTACTTCCCTGGAATTAGAGTGACAGATAGCCTCAAGTCACCATATGTGTTCTGGGAATTGAATTTAGGCCATCTGGAAAAGAATTCTTAACTGCTGAGCTATCTCTCCAGTCCCAGAATATTGAAGATGTTAATACACTATCTACAAATCAGATTGGTATGGGGAAAAGAAAGACAGAAAGACACATTGCTAACATCAGTGATAGGGAGTGGGTCTAGAGCAGTAGTTCTAAATCTTAATGCAGCAACCCTTTAATACAGCTGCTCATGTTGTGGTGACCCCTCTCCGCAACCATAAAATTATTTTCATTGCTACTTCATAACTGCAATTTTGCTACTGTTCTGTAATCACAATGTAAATATCTGTTTTTGTATTGTCTTAGGAGACCCCTGTGGAAGGGTCATTTAACCCCCTCAAAGGGGTCTCAACCCACAGGTTAAGAACCACTGATCTAGAGTTTGAAATTCCTTGATGCATGCTTAGTATACTGCCTCCTCTCCTATCGGCTTATCTCACTCAGGACCCTTGACCCTTTCTCTTCAACCATGATCCCCCTTTTCTTTCTTCACACAGATCTGAGGTGCTGCCCTTCTTTTCCAGGTTTTAGTCTAAATTCTGCACATCTCTCAGGGAGCATGAAGCCTTTTGAAACCCACCTGCTCAGATAAGGCCTTTTCCCTAAAGTTAGTAGAGGCTCTTTTTTTCTAAAGTTCATCATTTAGGATGTCTGATGACTCAACTCCAACATAAACAATTCTAAAAACTGTTTCCATTCCTCCCCCGAACTGGGTGCAGTAGTGCAAACCTGAAAGGATCATGAGTTCAAGGGTTATGTAGTAAGAATCCATCTCAACAAAAATTAAAAAAGAAATCACAAAATGATAAATATGTGATGTGTTGAGTTGATTAATTAGTCTGACTTAGTAACTTTATAATATGTACAAACATCAAAACATTTGTTGCCATAATGCATACTTTTTTTAATTTGTCAATTATACTATAATGAAACTGTAACAGGGGGGCAAAAGGCTCTCCTTTTCTGCAGAGAAAATCTCTATATTTTCTCTAATTTTCTTGGGGAGACAGAAATCCCCCAATGTTCTGAGAACAGAGCCAATATAAGGGAAATTTGATGAGCATTTAGCAAGAGAGAAATGGATTGAGCCCTAACATCATTTGATCTGAATTATGGATCCGATAATTCACTCTTGAAACTTGCATTTCCTGTAGACAAAACATTTTTCTTTGCTTTTTCACATATAGTGGGATTCCTATCAACTAGAAACCAAAGCCTTAACAACTGAAGTTTCCCAATCACTATATTATTTTTATTAATTTCAAAAATTTATTTTTATTTTATGTGCATTGGTGTATGTCTGTGTGAGGGTGTCAGATCTTGGAGTTATAGACAGCTGTGAGCTGCCATGTGGGTGCTGGGAATTGAATCCATGTCCTCTGGAAGGGCAGTCAGTGCTCTCAACTGCCCCAATCACTTGAATTATGAAACCTGTGCTATGAGCTCATGCCTATTAGGAAGACAATGCTTGCTACCCAATAACAATCAATGTTTCAGCTTCTTGGTACAGGAGAGTGAGAAGCCCAGCCTGTGACCTTGACAGCCTAGGCTTTGCTTTGTATCCAACTGTTTTTGGTCCATCTGAGTGGATGAAATATTTAATTTTGTGGCTGTGCCATGGGTTTTTGAATGGATATATGTACTCTATCTATACTAGAAGCATGGGGAGCCCCAGTATTTAGGAGAGGTGAGAGACAAGCAAGGAAGAACATATTAAGAGACTTAAGCAATTGTTAACCAGAAGATGTAGCAACTTCAAAAAGTGGAACTGGTACTTCTGGATGTGACTCCTCCCCCTCTTCCTCCTCCTTCTCCTTTTCTCCTTCTCTGTCTCTCTCCCTTTCTCTGGTTATTGTTTTGAATTTTGTTCTTGTTTTGAGACAGGATCTCTAGTAGCTTAGGCTGGACTCACACTGGCAATGTATCTGAGGATGACCTTGAACTCCTAATTCTCCTGTCTTTGGCTCCCAAGTGCTGGGCACATGGCACCATGCCTGGCTGTACTGCTCTCTGTGTTCTGTCCCTTTTCTTTTTGCTCTAGATTGAGTTGCCAGTCTGTATAGCAGTCACTCTTGGCTGAACCCCATGCCTGCTCCTGGTTTGGCAGGAAGCCTCCTGCCTCACTGTTTACTCTGGAAGGATGTCTTGGTGGCCCTAGCCTTCACTTGACCTAATGACCCAGAACATAGACCCGTACCTCCTGTCTTTATTTGATCACCAGACCGTGCCATGAGAAAATGGGACTGGACACAGGTGGGATGAGGCTGAGGCTGCCTGGGGGTGGTAGTGCTGCTGGATGACACAGGCTAGGGAAGCTCAAGGGAGACATTCTTTTCATTTGCCCCAAATGAAGGATGTACAACAAAAATGAGTCAATTGTCAGCTGACCCCTGGCTCCGGTAAGACTCCAACTCACCCTTTAGTGGAATCCAAATCCTGCCTTCTCCCCTCCAAGCTACCACAATGGCTATCACACTCTTGAACGTTTCTTGTGACTTCCTTAAGCCACAACTGGGGCTTTGTGTGAAATTGTGATGTTTTCAAGAGTTTGATGCACTCTGCCACACTGTTCTCTAGGAAGCGCCACTTTGTGAATGGCAGAACCTGAGCAATGGTCATGTGCCAGTAAGAGTGATTCCCACACAGATGTGCCTTTGTTTTCTGTTTGCTTTGGCTTCTCCTCTTGCATACATTAAGACCCTTTGCCTGGGCTGGGGCTCAGCAGTAGAGCACTTGTGTAAACATGTTTGATACCCAGCAGAACAAATGAACAGAAACATCTTGTAGTAGGATGGTGGGATCTCGCCCCTCTGGTCCTTTAACAAATATTTGCTCAGTGCCAGCAGCCACTCTAAACTGGGTACCTCTTATCTGTAGACAAGAGGCAGCCTTATCTAGGAGATTACAGCCTAATGGTAACAATGAGGGCCAGAATGGCACATGACTAACATAGTTTGAGTATGTAATGTAAAGACTCTTGATGTGTGTTCCTTCACTTAACCCGCACAACACTGACATCTGCATTTCTAGTATCCGCTTTATAGATGA